TACGCGGCCATTTTCCCTCCCGTGACATGGTCCACGGCCATTTTTCCGCCCCTGACACGTGGTCCGCGGCCATTTTTCCGCCCCTGACACGTGGACCACGGCCATTTTCCGCCCCTGTCACGTGGTCGTAGGGAGGGGGACTCTCCCTCTAAGCAATAGCTGCCTCCCTGTCATCCACGCCAGAACGGATTAACGGTAATTACATTGAACCTTATGGGGAAATTTGCTTCGGGTTGCGACCAATTCGGGCTGTGACCAGAATCACGGAACGAATTAAGTTCATAACCCGAGGTACCACTGTAAATGTTTCTGTACCATATCTTTATTATTCATTATTGATATTTGTTATTTATCCATCTAAATAAGACTATATCTTTAATTTCTAAGATTACAGGTCGTCCTCGATTTACGACCACAATTGAGACCGGAACTTCTATTGCTAAGTGTGAGGTTGTTAAGTGAGTTGTGCCTGACTTTACAACCCTTTTTGCCACAGTTGTTAAGTGAATCACCATGGTTGTTAAGCGAATCTGGCTTCTCCCATTGACTTTGCTTGTTGGAAGTCCCCTGGGAAGGTTGCAGTGGCAATCACATGACCCCAGGTCTGCAACCATTGTAAATTCATGCTGGTTGCCAAGTGCCTGAATTTTGATCATGTGACTACGGAGACGCTGCGACAGTCTTAAGTTTGAGGACTGGTTGTGAGACACATTTTTCAGCCCCATCGTAACTTCGAACAATCGTTAAATGAATGGTCGTAAGTTGAGGATTATCTGTATGGACTGATGGTGATAATACACGCTGCAAGTTAATTAACTAGCTTTTGGTTAAGGCTGTTTATGAATAGACATGTAATGTCCATTTAAAACTTCACTTGAAGGAGCTGAACAACATAATTAAGTCTTTAATTTTCATGGGAAAGTATCAAAAGAACACTCACAATTTGGAATCAAACTGTGCTCCAAATTCCTATGAAATTGGGTGCCATTTTTTTCCTTGAAAATGCTTGATGGAGGAAATACCTTAATGATAGGAGAAAATGAGTGTGGAGACTTGATATGAGGGAGGAAGATAGGTTTTCGAAAAGCAGCTACTGAGGAGCCCTGATACTTTGTAAATATAGGTCCACTGCTTTTTCTTCATATTAAACCATGTCAGAGTTAAGTACATTTTTAAAACAGTGTAATTAATATAATGTGTAGTCTGCAGAACAAAAAAAAAAAAAAATAGAGAACTGCAGTGGAAAATTAGGGAGAAGATGGAATAACCTTCACCTGTGAAATAAATTGAGAGCTTCCTGGGTTTAATTGCCAAGATTGGCATTACTATAAATTAGGCCAATATAAGAAATGCACATTATTTGTTAGCATTATTTGATTTCTGGCCAACTTTGCGGAGTCTGGAATAATGTTTAGAAGTGAAAGGAAGGTTACATTATAGCTTTTTCGTCACAGAAATCAGAATACAATTCATAAGCCACAAGACTCTACAAAACAAGAAAGGTTACGGGAGACCCACCCTGTTCAGAGGATTATTACTCAGAATATCCATGAGACCGTGTAAAGCCTTCGCACGGTCACATCTCTATGTCATGAGGTGTAGGGATAACAGCAAACAGCCACAGAATATTATTTCTGAATCCTTTTGACACACTGAATATTTCTGTCAAGAAGCTTACTGACTATTTAAAGAACTACACACAGTAATTTTCTATTTTCATCTTTAATTTGCTGTTGCAGCTTCTTAGAGAATTCATGTATCTGTTTCATCCAAAAACAAAATGTCTTGCAATCATTGCTAAAACAATAAACAAATAAATCCCCTTACTTTTAACTTTAGGGATTACAAATCCAAGTCGAATGAAGCAGATTTTGTCCCCGAAAGTCCGGTGAAGGCTCGACGACATTCTTGGAGGCAGCAGATATTTTTGAGAGTGGCAACACCACAAAAAGGATGTGACCCTTCTGGATGGCATGAAGGTAAAATCCATCCATAGTTGAAGTAATTAGCTTGTCCAATTAATGCTACAAATGACGGCTCAGCTTTCCTTGCAGTCTTCAGTACAACCGAATAACGAAATTACCAATTCCAAAACGCGGAAAATACTGTGTTTTATTTCAAGTTACTCTTGAATCTTGAGTGGATAGGATTGGTTTTAATTGTTTTATTGTTACTGCTGTTTCATATCCCTGCTTGCTGCAATTTCCTTGTGCACCAGGGAAAGGCAATTTTAAAATCACGGGAGGGAGCAGGATATGATTTAGTGACATCACACTTTGAAGATTAGTAAAGGCTTTCCAAATTCTTTTTGTGGTGGAAGAAAGATGGGAATGACCGTGGGAGTGCCTGGGAACAGACCATGGGAATTGCATGAACTGTGTAATTCCCCCCTCCTCATTTATTTTTAACAGAAAGCAGGGTCACAGGTAGGGGCATGGTCAAGAAGGAAACATGTCATATCAGAAGTGATTTGAAGGACAGTTTGGGCTGGAAGTGCCAGATTGCCCTTTGGGCTTAGAGCAGTGTTCCTCAACCTTGGCAACTTTATGATGGGTGGACTTCAACTCCCAGAATTCTCCAGCTAGCATGGCTGGCTGGGAAATTCTGGGAGTTGAAGTCCACCCATCATAAAGTTGCCAAGGTTGAGGAACACTGGCTTAGAGGATCACCAGCATTAATTGATAGCATCAGCATGAAACTTTGGATCGATTGAGATATTTTTGCTAGTTATATCAGACAGCAATATGAAAACTCCCCATGATGGGGGTGGTTTTCTTGGCAAATATCCTGCCTATTTCAACCACTGTCAAGTAGCTTTCAGACACTGGTTATTTAAGTCAGTTTCTACAATGACAGTCAAAGCCGGTCATTTCTTTAGTTTACTATCCATGGATAAATCCTGAGGTACCATCCCATCATGATGGATAAATTACAAGAGTCCAAAAAACAAGTGTGCATTTTGTTACTAATAGTTTCTCTTGAAATGTTTTCACTTTTGTAATCACAGAAACCCCAACCATTTGTAAGTAGGCCCCTTTGACCATCAAGAGGCACACCTGAGGCTCAGTGCGTATAGTTGGGCTAAGTCAGCACGAAAAGTAAATTACTGTTAAATACAGGGTATAATCTAATAAAATAGTCATGTCTGACCGTACGAGCAGCAAAAACAGAACTATAGAATTAGACAACAGATGGAAGGTTAGGAAAGGAGGCTGTGACATTTCTAATGATAATTGTATTTGTCATTTTTTCCATGTTACATCTCAAGTTGCTTTTTCTTTATTCTTTGCCCTTACCACATTCTGAACGCTATGATAAATCATAACTGCATCGTTTTAGAATGGTTCTACATACAAAAATTATTTCCACATATTTATTTGTTTTATTTTTACACCACCCCAAACAACTCTGGGCAGACTACAGAAGGCTTTCTAATCTCCCAACGTACAACATCTGTAACAGGACTATCACGAACGAGGACAGAGGAGAACCCTCCATCCTCACTGGACATTACAATCACCAAAGTTCTGAATAAAAAGAAACATTTTGAGGAGTTTCCTAAAATCCAGGGGCAAGGGGAGAGGGCAAATGTATATCCAGGGGCACTATATTCCAGAAAGTAGGGGCCAATTCTGAAGAAGCGCTTTCTAGCTCACATTTGTCTCACTTCATATGGGGGCAAGATCTTAAGCATTCCCTCTCTAGTTGACCTGACAGGAGGGTCAGAATCATTACAAACGAGGCAATACCTAATGTCATTACCATATAGGGCTTGACAGGCGAGAGCAAACACTCTGAATTCGGCCTGGAAGTATAGTGACCATAGTGTTAATCTGCAGTGATGGGGACTGTTGACCAGCAGTCTACATTCTGCTCCAGTGGTAGTTTCCAGGTTGCCTTCAAAGATAGCCCCACATAGAGTGCATTGAGGTAGTCTAGTCACATAGTGATGTGGGTGGAAGTCACTGTGTGATATGGGTGCGAGTCACTTTCACCAAAATAGTATAATGTGTTTTCCAAGTTTATCAGGAAAGGGATCAAAGTAAAATGATATTGTCATAATGCTTTCATAGAGTATGGCTACTCTTGAAATACCACTGTGTTTTAACAATGTATATTGCTAAAATGGTAAACCAAACAAACTCCTGATTAGAGCACATGACTGTCAGGAAAGGGCTCTTTCTCTTTCTGTTGTATTTTTTTTCACTTTTTTTAAAACCACTTTTTGTGCGTTGTTTTTCTTTTGTTGAGAATGTATGTATTTGCATCATTATTTTTGTGTTTTTATTTATTTGTTTATTTATTTTATTTATTTATTAAATTTGTATGCCGCCCATCTCCCCCAATGGGTGACTCTGGGCGGCTCACAATTAAAACAAAACCACAACCA